TGCGACGGGTACAGTTACTCACCTAATTAAATTTTAAAAAAATTACCACAAAACTGTGCTTTATGATTAATAATATCCTACTTAATTATCTCTTAATTGGAGAACAATAAGTCCTCATCCAGATTCCAGCAACCGTTTAAGAGAAAACTCTCCGACTACTATAAAAAGCCTGAGTCATCAAAGCGGCGCAATAAATCCGAGCAGCTTTCGTTTTTGTCGCTTTTCCAGTTACACATTGTGCTACTTCCTCTTCTTTATCGTGTTTTGTTTAAATACAATCGGTACTCCGAACGGGGTTATGAGAAAACACTCAGAACCGTAATGAAAAATTTACTTGTCGTCACTCTTAATTGAATTAATTAACCGGAATTAATTTTAATGTCGGGGTTGTAGATGCATCAGAGCCATTGAACTCGAAATAAATTTTCCCACATGTGTAAGACACTGATGCCTAGTGGCGTGCACATGGCGATGATCTACTTCACTGCAGGTTATAACACTTTACAACAGGTTTGTCGACTTATCGCATAAAATTGTTACATATTTCAATGCAACACTAACCTCGATATTGTTGCAATAAGTCATATTGTAAAAATATTACTGTTCCCGGAATTACTTACTGATCAATATATAAAAGTATGATCGTAGCCAATGGGCATAAAAGTTCCACTAGGCACAAAATGAAGCGTGTAACGGTTCAAAAACTGAAAGTAACACGATGGATACGATGGGGAATCTGGTCTCTATTATGCCTAATGGAAGTGAATTCAGATGAGCAGATGGAATAAAAACAACTTTTTAAATATTGTTTAATGATTACTCATCAATGACTTCACTGGTTTTTTTCGTGGAAAAAAATACGCGAGGAGCGAGGAGAGGCTAAACCTTCATTTGACTTCAACAATCGCTTTAATATGACTAAGATCGTGAGTGAAGCACTGAATAATGATTGTCGTGACGAATGGATTGCTTTAGTCTTTTTAGCTTGTTCAGTCGGGACAATATGTTTTTGAACGAATTCATGAATTCGAGTGTTACATCGTGGAGTATTATTAAAACGATTTATTTAGTTGTCTCTTTTTCAAGAGAGATGCATTTTTAATATCTGGGAGCGTCGTTTTTACGAGCCATAAACAACAGTAAATCAGTATTGTCAGAAAAACTGTATCTTAAAAATTAGTTGTTGCTTTAGTATTTTTGTACAAACTGTTTAAAATGTCGCGCCGATCGACCGTGGAAAATTTAAATTTTAGCAATAATACAAAAACAATTTCGGGGTATGATCTACAATTTTGTCTAAAAAAGTGTAACGACTTTAATGCGTTACAAATCATTCTGCAGTTTTTAATTATTTCTGCTGAACTACTAAAGCAATTAAAAAAAAATATGAAAATTTGAGAAAGATTATAGTAATTGAAATTGTCACATTGTTACGTGTTTGGCAGTTAGTACCGATGACACACAAGTTCACTAGAGTAGATATAAGCCTTTTACTTAATGTCTAATTTTTCTTGATGAAATAGCTTTTCTCTATGGTTCCAATTTCCAATACATATGTGGGTTGTCAACCAGTGAATGTATTCTAATTCATATGTAATTTTTATTGTATCTTCTTGTAGACCTGATTACGCGTCGAGAAAGTTTAAAGTGTAGATGAAAATGAACAGTAAGAACTTTACACATTAAGAAGAAGTAATTATACATCAGTAAATTAACCCTATTATTTACTATTTGATAACTGATGATCAATTTTGAACATGTGTTTTTTATTCTCGGTTAAAATTTAAATACCCCCCTGACCCCATTCTACTCAATTTGATGCACTTTTACGTAAAAGTAAACTGTGAGCACATACATTTTCTTAAATTTGCAATTTACATCGGTTGACATAGTTTCCTTTTCGTTGCAATTCGTACAAATTTGATCATACTACCAAAATTAATGAAGCAATCACATTTTATTATACCATAAAGTTTCTCCCAAAAAAACAGTACAATTACTAAAAGTGTTTTTAATGTTTAAAATTGAATACAAGGTTCTTCTTAACCATTAACAATGATGTACTAAAAAACTTTGATAAATAACCATGTAATGTGTGATAAAAAACTTATCAAGGCTTGTTATGGGTGATGAATGCTATTAACCATGTTATTAATTTTGATTTAAAGTTATTTGTCGGTTATCAAAAAAAAATTAAGTAGTCAACCTTAAATAATATTTTTAAAAATTTTTCTTTCGTTATCTACACATGTTTTATTTATTTTCTCTCATTTTGTTAAAAAAACAAACTGATAACATAAATAATATAAATAATAATATCGATTTCATATTAGTAGTACTTTAAAAAATTTGCCACATCATAAACAGTTTAAATATAATTGCGATTTAATGTGTATTATTTAACGCTGTTAATGTCCAGGAACTTGGTGAGTACGTAAGCTACCTACTTTAACCTGCGTTCTGTTTAATCTCAAAAATGTGTGCATCATACCGCAAACATTTATAGAGCGAGTGCTTCCGCTGTAACTAGATATACATTTTATATTATCATTACCATCACATTAACAAGAATCCCTCAAACTTATGCTTTTAGAATATGTTTACTCTGTAATGAAAACACCGTACCTAGTTAGTTAAAATAGGACGAGTAATGTTAGTAAAGTTCACAGCATTGTTATCCATTTTTTTTTCAATTTTTAAATTTAAAACACAGCTACTGGAAAATGGTTGTTACATGTATGTAAATGTTAAAGTTTAATAACCCAAACATTTTTATGAGAATTTATATTATTTTTTGTTGGAGGAAGATCTAAAAAAATTGTTTGTGTAATGTTCGCAACGTTAGCAAAAAATGAGTTTTGTTATAATGTATGATGAAAGTTCGATATCATACATAATGTAGGAACTAAAAAGTTTTCCATTTGTAGAATGAGGAAAAGTCTGGGCAGAGTTTCGAAACGACAAAAAACATCCTCCGATTCTATCAAACGAAAAAAAATAACAAAAAGTAATCAATTTATTTGATATAGGGGTATTCAAAAGTCGCTGTTTTTGTCATAAGTTATGAAAGCCTGGTTTCTAATACCAGTTTTTTACCTTAATAAAGATAAAATGACATCAAGGTTTTAATTAGTGCTCTTCAGCGTTTCTTGTGGTACCATCACAAGTCTCCTATCATTTATTTTGTTTGCTTCTTGTGATGATAAAATGTAGTAATTTAGATAAGATATTCAGTCCAGTAACTATAAAAATGCAATAATATATGCCAGTTAAACATAATTATGATAAAAACGTAATAAGGCAAAATGATTTTCAAAATGATCAAGATAATGGGCAGTATCGTAAGAGGTCGACATCCTTGAAGAACCCGACATCGAATTATTATGCTCACCATGCTTAAACATTGCGAAATTAAACAAAAGAACATCAAAATTCCATTAAAGCTGCAGGTATCTGTCTTTGATCGTTTCAGCGTTTCATTGTTCTTGTATTTTTTTTTCTTGGGTTTTATTGCCAACTTTGTTATTTGACAAAATCAGCGACAACTAATTATTGATAGAATGCTCAGTAATTGTCGAAGCAAAATCATCTAATCGAAAGTATGGGTTCTGTTTTGCAAAAAATTATTCTAGTTTGTGAGTTGAACAACTGCAGCCTTAATAAACCTCCATTACTTCAAGTAGAATTGCGTGCTGTTTTTGTAGGGTAATTGACACATAATAATTTCATTACACTCCAGCTTGTGCAATTATTTATCGACGAAGATGCCAGCCTTAAATTGCTTTGACACAAATCAAAAAGCGTCACTCAGCAATGAAAACATTTCATCAAAATAAATTAATCACGCGGCGTTAGAAATTAAAAACCGGAACTCCGACAACTAATATTTAACCGTGCAGTAAGTGACTGTTTGTCATTGCATTAATTTATTGAGTGTGTTGCTTCAGAATTTACGAGGTAGATGGAACAATAGCAACAATGATGGCAGATATTCAATAATCTGCCTACGCGCATTTGTGTGCAAGTTTACTTTTACCTGAATATATAGATTTCATAATGAGATAACAGTTTTCTATTTGAACGGTGGCTAGAGATTTCATGTGCTTGATCAATTAAGAACAAAAGATGTCTACTATCCTATATTAAAGGCTTGTTACGAGAACGACTTTTTAGATAAAATTTTATCGGTTCAGGGTTTCAGGGTTAGTGCTTCTACATCACGACAGTTTTATTTTTATAGACCATATTTATAGCATCACCTTAACAATTAGGTCAATATCAGTAAAAAGAATCAATAGATATTGGTTTAATAAAAAAGGAAACAAGAAAGTTTCAAACGCGTCAAGCAATAAATAGACTTGCTAAGATCAAATCTTTTTAAGAACTTCTAAATTCGAAAGTCTTGTGTGTTAAATTTTTCGGTTGTTGCCAATTTAAAAGTTAATTTTACATAATTTTAACATGAAACAAATCACAATGGGTAATTTTGTGTTCCAGCTCTATATAATGAGGTTTGAAAGCACATCTTAATGAATTAAAGACTTTCATTATACACATTGCTAATGGAAACGTAGTTAAAATAACAACTATCTGGATTTTTTGGCCAAAAAGTTCAAAATAGTTGGTGTAAAAAAATTGTATATAGTATGCTCACGTAAAAAAGTAAACGGGAAAACACCACATGCGTATATGTAGATAAAATCTTGTTAATTTCATAAATATATCATAAATAAATATTTATTGCAGTCAAGTTAAGAGTATTTAAGGTTTTTGATACACTTGTTTATCACAGGTGGTCACAAATAGTAGTCGCAAATTTTTTTCAACACATCCACACTGGTTGCAGAGCCGATCAGCAATTATCTGCATATCAATGTAAGCAAAAAATTTCCGCATTAATGAAAACCAATAAAAAGCGAATTATCTGGAATTATTTTGCGCTCCACTTTCCGCTTGTGGTCTCCGCAAACATAAATAAGCATTAAATTGTCCTCTTCCAGGTGATGCATCAAGCCGATTACAGAATGTACCCCACATCGTCTTATCCGATCGACAGAAGACTGTCCTCGCTTTCGCTATCGACCAAACAGGAAAATCCCGAATACGCCATAAACCGATTTTCGCAAAAATACGATTCTTATCAGGAGTTCCTCTACAGGAACAACCAACAACGTAGACGACTTTCGTCAACGGGGGAAGGAAGTGGAGACTCGAGCACGACTGCATCCGGGAGCAGTTACGGGGAGCGCGAGGACGGCAGCGAAGGAAGAGCTGAGAGTGATGAAACAGACAGAGAAGAGAGGGAAGAAAGGAAGCCTCTTGAGGGTCAGATTACGGATTATGAGAGGCAGCAGGTCGAGACCTTCTTCAAAGGACTGAAAACGCAGGTAATATGATGTGGGTTAAAATTAGAGGCGCTGAAAATAGGAGAGCAGGAACAATCATTCCGGAAATTTGCGCGTATCGAAATTTAATTAAACGAGTGGGAGGGCGCTCAGTTTTGTATTTTTTATTGAAACGTGAAGTCGACTAAAGATCAAATGGATTATTCGTTCAGTGGTTACAGCGTGACGTATTCCAACCAGCAGTAATTTTAAACCCGTCGGTTTGGTACGTGATGTCACAAAATGCAATCTTGAATTAACTGGTGGAGATGGCATTTCAAAGTGAAGTGAAAAACGCGGACTCGTCTCGGACCTGTTTTTTTTTTTAATTTCATAAATAAATACTAGACATTGCGAGCACTTTAGGTTAGAGGTTTAAACGAATTAAAAATTTGGAATAAGAAGTTTCAAGTTTAGTCTCTCCAGTTTGTTTTTCAGTACTCTACTGCATAGTTTTAAAATACGAGTTGATGCAAAATTATTGGCAACTTTTTCTTCATAATAGTATAGAATACTTATTCTCCCTTATAAAAATTGAAGTTCTTCTTCGGGGAATCTTAGATGTAGAAATTTCAGAAAATTTCCTAATATGAGTCACCTTACCTATGGCAGGTATCCGTTAACGTCAATTGACGGAACGCTTGGTATTTCTCAAATAATCATATTTAAACTGAGCAAATAATCTAAATAGATACGTTATCACTATTGACGTGAAAATCCAAGTAAGTTTACCTTTACCAACATTGTTGTAGAAAACGGTTATAATAGCAAAATATCTTCAAACACAATCTGTAAAAATTAGCAGGGCTCAAGTGCAGTTAGAAATCAAATCGAAACTTTTTGTTAAAAGCACATAGTGGACATCGTGGGGATATTTTAAGTTAATTAGATTTCAGAACTCACTTGCAGGACTCTAATCGAGTTTCTTCTATTGTAAATATGTATCGTCTCCAAATGTCGTTAAATATTACGGGATCAAATTCTATAGGACAGGCTATTTTTATTTGCACTGCATAGGGTTTTCGTTGAATAATCGAACGTAGATCAGAGATGTTGGAAATGACTATGGTTCAGCACAACCAATAAAATCCTTCTACGATAATTATATTCGCAAATTTAAATGAAGTAACTCAGATAATGGACTAGCTTAGAACTTGTGCTTGTGTTTGAATTCTGGGAAGATTACTAATAAAACTGCGTCGTCAGAGAACTCTAGAAAATAGAAGCATAATGTAAGATAAATCTAGATTTTTCAGACTGAGTCTTTTTTAAGTTGATTTGAAGTTGATAACTTGTACCTTTTGCAAAAAAGAAAAACATTGGAGATTCTTAATTTCATACTAGGATGCAAATGGCAAACATCTAAGTTTATCTTTTTCGGAGGGATCGAAATTAATAAGGAAAATTTATAATATGATTATTAACATGTGCCAGTAATATTGCGATTAAAATAAATAATTTTTCAATTACACCTTGTTTTAAGCTGTATAATAATATGTCCTAGAAAGTTCGGTTTTAACCGTGTTATCTCTAGTTTTTTTTCTACATTTTTATAAAAAAATTCTATTTTTGGGTAATTTTTGTTTTTGTCGGAATTTATTATGAACACAAGAGCGTAAAGAGTTTAAAAACAGACAACAGTTATTAAACATGGCTATTAATATTATGGATAATTGAGACAATGTCACTACCTTGACCATTAACATCACCATGGCTATTAATATTGTTACAATAGAGCATTCAAAGGACTTTGTATTTAAAGTGGAATTCTAAATTATGGAATATGTTACGCAAAAATCATTAAATTAATAGATGCCGTATTTTCTATTAACAATTGGTTCCACGGATTTTTAAAAACATATATTGCGGACTTCTCTTTTTTTCCAAATAGCGAGTATCATGTTTTGTGGTTTTCACAGATTTTATAAATAATAATTAAACAAGTTTAAAAAAAGCAAATTATTTTATCAGTATTAAAAAACATTTTAATATCTACATATCGATTTAGATGTGTATGTAGATACAAAATTGGTCGAATATTATTTCAACAGAACTTCACTCGCCCTTGAAGTGCATTACAACAAATCCCGCCCTTTAAATTAATGAATTATAAAATCTTCATTTTACCATTTTCGTTTTGTGATAACCTCTGTGAAGTAAAAATCACAGACATAAATAACACCCCCGCAGCCCCTGCGCCATACGGACAATGTAATATTTATTTAAAGCACATAATAACGGCATAAAATATCCTTCAGCACTAGGTAATGACAACCTGAAGCTCAAGTGTTTATTTATCATCGATTATTATTTATCATTATTCATCGAAAGAATGTCACATAGAAATTAGTTTGATTTCTTAAAACAGAGGACTAAAATTACTAATTAAACCACAATCGAACAAAATGTTGTGAATATTATATAATATAATAATACATTATATAATTTTTATTTGATTAATATTATATAAAACGTGCCTATTCTCACGTTTTGGAAAAAATGGGGTGACTCGTTCTTAAGTCTATTAATAAAAAATTTGTGATGACTTTATCAACATGGATACTACTAGTCATAGGATAAAAGAAAAGTGGTCACAACGCGTTACCAATGTAAGAAAAAAAAAAAGAGACGGTCAAGTTCGGAATCAAACCCAAGACCCGCAAGTCGCCGTTTATCTAGAAACCCATTGCGCCGCGGGAATTGTATCTGATGTAGGTAAAATAACGTTGTTATACCTTGCAAGTGTTTTTGTGAAAATTTAAAAGTTTAGCGAAAAAACTGAAGTCGGATTTGTACACTACAAATATAGCAGTATATTTTTGTACAACATTCAAGTTATTTTAAAATACAGTTTATTGAGATGACGTCATCAAATTGTTAGTGGGGATGATTAGCCAACGGAAACGGGAAATTACTTTTTCCGTACTATAGGGATCATGAAACGTCGAGAAAACATAAAAGTGGGTATTCGTCCGATGGACTCGATTACTATACTTCCTTAACTTACCCTCGGGAAGTAAAAAGGTGATTTTTTTAAATTATTTTTTTGCTTTGCTCAATAAACAGTATATAACAATTTGTGATAGTCATTTTTGAATCACTCTGTATACATGTTCTCTTCACTGGGTAAGCCAATATGATAAAAAAATTGGTCGAAGGTGAATTCGCTCCTAAAGTGCAGTCCAACAAGTCCTACTTCTTTGAAAAATGATAAAATCTGATTTTGTGCATTTTTATTTTTAATAACCTCCGTACAAAAAATAATAGATGATACCAGTGACAGTGTAAGACATTAATTGACACCCTATTAGTTTTTTTGTATTTGTTTACGGCATCTAATTTTTTTTTTTAATATTTCCATTTACGTGAGCGTAAACTAAGGAAGTATTTTAATCGAGTCCGTCGGACGACTGGTTACATGACATGTTTTCTCGACGTTCTATGACTCCTAGAGTTCGAAAAATGGGTCTCCCGTTTCCGTCCCTATGTCTGTCTATCTGTCCGTCTGTTTGCCGTATGCCCGGATTTTTAATAGATAGATGATCTCCAAAACTACTGAACCGATTGTTGTCAAATTTTATATTTGGCTAATCATCCCCACCAACAAGGATTTACATTAGTAAATATAATTTAAAGTTTATAAAATAAGATACTCCTGCCCTTGAGGTTTATGAATCCATGTTGAGTTTTTACCTTAGATATCCAACTTCAAAATTGTATACTAGCGTTTTACAGTTTAACTTTGGAATTGCAAAACCGAATGCTTTGAATTCAAATTTCATTTTCTTTTAGCTGCTAATGATTGTAATTTAAACGTGCTAATAGTCTAATTCTTTCGAAATATAAACATAAACAGTAGGAGTTAAGCATGAACCGAAAAATTGAGAATATCTAAATTTTACCCTTTGGTTATCGGCTTTAAATACATTTTAACTTGTCCACATTTCTATCTTGGAATTCTGGTCCCCGCAGCACATGAGCTGTTATTTATACCACTAGTTTTTACATTACAGAGGGTATCACAAAACGAAAGTCGCAAAATTAAATTTTATAATTTTTCAAAGGCCAGTTTTTGTAGAAATTCTTGTAGAGCTTGCTTTTCTGAATTCATCATAATGTATCATACTTAATCACCTATACTCTGCCACTGCTTCTGATTCGAAATCATTATTTTACGAAAACGCACTCTGTTCACATGTTTATATTTGGTTTGGTGCGGAGTGCAGAAAATTTTGATGCCTAGGGTAAAAACTCAAGGCGTATTCATAAACCACAAATACAAGAGTATGTTATTTTATAAAATTTAAATCACGTTTACTAACAATCGGTATAGGTTCGGAGATTATCTATCTAATGAAAATCGACAGAAACGACAGACGGCGGTTCGCAGACAGATGGAAATGGGAGACCTATTTTCGTCCTCTAGGGGTCATGAAACGTCGGTAAAATACGAAAGTACGCTATTACAATACTTCCTTAGCTGGGACACGGGAAGTATTAGTTAATTTAAAATGAAGTGTCAACAGCTTAATTGGTTGTTAATTTGCAAACGTAAGAACTATTTATTTGTGTTGAAAAACATTTTGAAAGGAGCGACATTTTGACATTGTATAACAATTACTGTTAAGAATTCATAACATTCTTATTTTTAATAGGACCATGTTTACTGCACATTCATTCGTAAAGAATTTAATCTCCAATATCATAAAACGCACGTTATATCATTACTACCTACATATTGATTTAGTTTTATCGGTTGCATGTGCACTCAGATGTAATTGTTTTGACGTCACTAAAATTTATAGGTATTTACAGGTATATGGTATATTATAATAACCTATCTACCATTTCTAGTCTCCTTATTGGTTCATATAATTCCAATTCCTTAAAGCGTTACTCAAAAACCTATTAGGAAACGATTTTTTCCAAAAATTTGTGTAAAAATATGCTCATAATCGACGAAACCAACTAAAAATAACTTACAATTAGAGAAGTTTTAATGA